GGTGTGGTGCCAAGGTGGGGTTGGTGGATTTGGCGAGGATTGGCGTTTCCCGGGCCTATCCTCATACTCCGCTGGTAGCGTTCGATCTCCGACAGCCTGTCTGAGAACTGCATCTTCTGGGGGTCTTCTAACTTCACCCTGTGCCCTGAAAGAAAGACACGAGGAGGAGAGCAAGTCAAGCACTTGCACATTTTACCTCCTACACAACCTGGAAAATTGGCACTTGTTGCCAGGCTTGTTCAAAAATAGCAAACACAATAACAAGAGTCCTATTAGAAAATTCCCCTTCTCCCTAATTTCTTTCTGGAGCACTGCGGTTTGACACATCCTGGCAAAACAACTTTTCCCGTCTAAACTGTAATTAGTGTAAAATTAGCTTGGACTGTGACGAGCATCAGTATGCTTCAGTGCAATTCATTTATATATATATATATATATTTAAAAAAGAGAGAGAGAGCAAGAGACCGTCACCATGTTTTCAGCTTCCACATACAAAAATATTATTAGAATGTCAGCAGACCTTGAAATACATTGGCTAGACACTAAATGTTATACAAGCTGCACCTGCTGCCACGTCACCCGCAGATAACGATAGCGTAAGTGGTCAAAAATAATTACTGGAGGAATTTTGTTTCCCTGAACCTAAAGTCTAAGAAACAACACACTACCAACTCTTCTGTGCAGCAGCAACAAAAGTGCTTTTGTTGGTCTTTTTTTAACGAGATTAAAAAGAAAAGAAAAAGCGAGTGCATCTATCCCCAATAACTACTCGTCTCTCTCACACACACACCCACGCAAATTCAGGTCTGACTGACACAGCACTTAGTCAGAAGGAAACACCCAGACGAGGTTAGCAGACCATACAGTCATCGCTGTTAAACATAACGAAGAGAAGGGAAAGAGACTTTAGTGTGTTTCTGTGTGTGCAGGAGGTGAGACTTAACTCTAAGAAGCAAAGCAGCGCTTCTTTAATCCAACCGAGTACCTAACCCGCACACACTTAGCCCCCATATCACTTTGATGCCCTGTTCAGGGAAACGACGAGATGAGAAAAAAACCTCTGATCATGCCTTTTATGCAGACGCACTCATGTACAAATACACATGCGAACACACCTTAAATGTCAGACGTGAGTGCGGATGAGGGCTGTGCCTCTAATGGGAGGAAGACATTTTAATGTAACTATCAATGCACCAAAACTGTGTGCGAACCGGCATGTATACATTCTGTGGTTTTCTCCCTGGCATCTCTACAGAGTGGCCTAATGTGAAGTAATGGCTGGATTTGAATATTTTATCACTATATAAAGGGGGCAAGGCAGACGGACCAATATGGATTTTGCCCGTCCTTTCTCTGCACTGACCCATGGGCAATATATCTTCCCTCCGAGGCTGACCCATGGGTAAAGTTTCCTCTCGTTTACCGCTCTGTCCATTTGTTTGTGCCCACCGCCTCGCTTCCGGCCTCTCTTTACAAACTATATAGAAATATCAAGCTTTGAAGCCCCCCCTCCCCGTACACGCGCAGGCAGCCGCATGCACGGAGCAGGCACTCGAATCAAAATTGTCGCTCTTCATTCGCTCGTTAGGAGTCGGATGAAACTTTAAATGTGTGAGAAGAAAAAGAGTCAGTCGTGACTAATCTGTAGGAGCAGAGACAGGAGTCGTGTTGCTGCTCTGCAGCTGTTTGTGTGAGTGTGTGACTGAGTCCACCCCTGACACTTTGCTCTGTGCTGTTACTCAGAACAAATCCCGGATAGACTCGTACGCTCTCGCACGCTCTGTAATATCATTTTATTCACATGTGGCCTTCTTTTTAAACTTTGATGGAAGGTAGAAGCCAGAATATTTCTCTCTCTCTCTGCACACACACACACACACACAGCGCCTGGTACAGGCTCCATAACCCACATAGACACTGTGGCTACTGTCTGTTCCAAGCCAGAGCCGGGGCGGCCAGGGGAAGCAGTCCTCCAAATATAGCCCCTATATGTGTCCTTGTGTAGTTATTAAGAGATTTACACCACCTCAAACGGCTGAGGTCAGGGAAACGATACATCCCACTGCTCTCTGGTTGGAAAAAAGACAGGCGGCACGGGGGGGGAAAAAAATGATAATTGGTCAGTTTTTCTGTGGCCACTGGTGGTCTGAGATGAATTGGCTGACTCTTTAGGGATGAAAGTGATCATTCAGTTACCCACAAACATGCACATGAACACACTTGAGCTGTGGATCCCGTGGCCCAGTTCCAGTTGGCAGGGACGCTTTAGCGGCACACCGTTCGCAGCTTCCAGCAGGGGGTTTAGTGGCTTGTGAGAGGGCGAGCGGGGGCATCATTAGAACAGGACCTGGCGCTCATTAACCCCGGCCTTGCAGTTGCTCTAAACACCGCACGTCGACTGGGAGGTGGCTTGAAGCTTTCGGCACCTCCTTTCAGTTTTACTCCTCGTCGCTTTTGTCTGTGTGAGCCTGTAAGCCGCACTGGAAATGATCAGAGGTGGTAGGGCACGAGCTTCGGACTGCCCGTGTAGCTCAAGCAGGAATTGAACGCTACTCTGTGACAGCCCTCCTTTTTTAAATTTTTTTTGCCATTTCTGCACATGTCTTAAAAAGAAAACTGTTGCTCCCTGTAGAAAAGTTGTAATAGCCGTCTAAATGATCCGCATACAGAAGCCAAAAGAGTCTCTTTGGCCAGCTGACCCCGGCTATAGCTGCTTCGTGTCAAGTCCGACCGCCAACATTTGACTTCTACTCTGCAGGGCTTGGAGGGCCAGAGGGGTGCCGGTGCTCCACACCAGCCCATTTCAGAGGGGTTTCTGTGGTCAGATGAATATTTAATGTGTTAGTGTGCACTTAGGAAAGAATGCCTTTGTTTTTCTCTCTATGATATCATAACCACAAGATAGAGCTGGGAGATGGGAGGCAATGCACACATGAGGCCTCAATATGCATCCAGAGCTGAAAATGGACGCTAAAGGTTGTAGATTTACTAGCCTCCTCTCAGAGTAGTGGTCGCATCATCTGAAAGCATTATGGAAGTCTATGAAGAACAAATAAAACGCTTGATATAAAATGTCTGGTATTAACAATGTAGTGAAAGGCGATGGCTGTGTTTTGAAGAGATGGGTGTGCCGTTCCCAGCCCTGCTTTGTTTTGCGTGTGTGTGTGTGTGTGTGTGTATGCTTTTATTTCCTGATAGTGTTTTATCTTCACTGCAGCATTGCTTTGCTCTTTTGTGTCGGTGCTTTGAAGCATTTTGAGGTAAATTCAGGTGTAAATCGTGCAAAAAGTGTAAAGTTATGTTCTTCCTCACGCCGCACGAACAATCTCCACCGAGCGTTGCCCGGCCTTCCCTCCACAAAACCCGTATCAGCTCAACAGGGAGGCAGTGTTTGCTCAGCGAGGTGACTGCCAGGACTTTAACGCGATGCCACAGCTGAACGATCACCCAGCGCGACCCGTTTCCTTCCTTCGCCCTCGCACTTTTCTCTACTTCTCCTCTCGTTTTCTGTCTGTCTGTCTGCCTCCTTTAAAAGAAAGAAACACATGTTGCCGTCCAAAGGGAGACACATTAAACACAAGCCCTTTTTAGTTAAGGGCTGGGTTCTTTTTCAGGGACAAAGTGAAACTCTATCTGAACAGCAAAGGCCAATACGTGCTTTGGCCGCGACCCAGCTCTGCACTGAATATATTTGAAGTGTAAATATTTGTTTTCGTCGTATAAATGGACTCGATAGGCCCCTGATAACAGACAAGAATTAACGTGGAGTGCATGTATCACAGTGAAAACTATGTCTGGACTGTCTGTGTATGCACGGTATTGAATTGCATAAAAAAACAATGTTTGGGTAGTGTAAGGAGCACTCCCGAGTCCAGCACAAAGTACACGAAATGGCAGCTGTGTGAGCTTTTTTTGTAGCATTAATGAATCGTTTTAATAAACCACACGTTTTAGGTCAGGGAAGCCCTTGTTTTTTGTGCTAGCGCGCTGAAACTAAAGTCTTGAAAAGATATGAAAACAAGCTGCATCCTTATCTAACTTCTGAAACTCGACAGTGTAGCGGGGTGACAGTTGAACACATGTCGCAGCGGGGCCTACTCGCCTGCGAGCAAACTTCCGTTTGCCCTCAACAGACACTGAGGACGTTTCAACATGTGTTGAGCAAAACCTTGTACACCTGTCTTCCTCTTCCTCCTCTCTAGCGGACCTGAACCCCCCCCTCCCCCCTCGCGTTCCCACCCTGCTTCTTTCTGCCACCCTTTTCGTTTACTTCCCTTTTCGTTCTATTACGAGCGCAGCCCAAAACACTTTTCTGCAGCAGTGCATTCGGCTCTGCGCTTCCCAAGGCCACCAATCACACCATTGGGTATTTACAGTGGGGCAAATCAAAGTTCTTGTTTTGAGGCTGACCCTGAAGGATGTGGGTTTTACCCTTGGCTGGTGATTGTGGCTGTCTCGTCTGGGCCTAAATGAGTCGATGCTTGCCACACTCAGACATTACACTGCTTTAAGCTCATTTACATAACGCTCCCGTACGTCTTTATGAATAAATGCGTAACTCTGTGCGCTCACTTCATGATAATGACAAACTGTATCGCTGGATATAAGCGTGAGCTAAAGTGTCTATCATAAACACAGCAGCGCTTTTAGTTTTTGTTTCTTCTTCTTTCTTTTTTTTGCGGAAACATTATTTAGGCTTTCAGGGGGACGTCAACAAAAGTTGTGGCATGCTTTTATCATCCTCTACGGCCACAGCTGGGGGACCGTCTGGTCCCTGAGGCAGATGCATCAGCCTGTCTCTGGGGACATCAGCACTGTGAAAATCCCCCTCGTAGGCCTAACACAAGCTGCTCACAACGGAAGTTGCTACATGAGACTGTTTGAGCAAAGAGCGAAGCCTTCCTTTTCTGATAAGGGGATAAAGTGCTTTGCGTGCATGTGTGTGTGTGGAACAGAAGCAGTGCCACACAAGGACAGCCCTGCAGCGAGGCAGGTTGAGGCAGGCAAAGAGGATGAGGGGGTGCCAAAATAAGACCCAGTGCACCCAGATTCTCGAACAATACAGCAAGGCCCGTAGCACATTGAGAGCAATCATCCCTCTTTTGTCTGGCCTTTGTGTACTTTTGTGTGTGTGTGTGTGTAACT